CAGGATTATAGGATCTGATTAACCATGTTAGACAACAATGCCGAGCTGGGATGGGCTTCCCCTTCCAGCTGCCAATATGAAAAAGTAAATATAACACCCAGATTTCAGAAGGGACTCCCAGCAGCCCCCAAGCCCTACTCCCCAATTCTAGCCCTGCTTCTGTTTTGGGCCCCAAAGTGAGGGGAGGAAGAGTGTGGCACCGCATGCTCCTTTAACTCCTGGCCCTTGGCCCAGCAGGACAGGTAATCCTGGCACAATCTTCCCAGGTGAGTCAATGGCTGTGTGCTCCCCACACCCTGGAGTCCTTCCAAGGCCTCTTCCGGGTTCCCCTAAGCTGGCCCAGACTCTCAGGAACCCATGAGAGTTAGGTGTCGAGAGGCTAGCACTCATTCAAAGGGTCCAGGAGTGTAGAGGGCACAGCAGAACCTGCTGGGCTCCAGGAGAGAGAGACCGAGTGCAGGTAGGACTTAACAGCTTGGAAGAGCAAAGAAGCCATTGCTGGAATGCTTTGGTGCCACCTAATGACTTCATGCGAGCCAGGGTAAAGAAATGAGACCCCAGAGTTGAGGACCACCATAAAGCAAAGTCTTGGGAGATGGAAAAGTATTCCTCCAAGGGTCTGGGACGAAAGACAGAGGATAGCTGGGCTTCCAGCTCAAGGAGCAAGGGATCCCCTAGGTCCCTCTGCATCACATACATGCACACACAGAAGCTAACTCAGACTCTCCCTGTCTGGATGTTTCCCCTCAGGGTGGGATCTTCTGACACCCTGTCCGACAGAACATGGTGGGGGGAGGGTAGGAATAGAGCAATAAAGAGTCCACAAGAATAACCAGTAGCTGTTTCCAGAAGGTCATGGCAGTTCAGGAAAAGTCTCCCTCCAAAGTGGGGCTCTCTTCCCTTCCGACATTCTTCTCTGTAACTGAGTGCCCAGCATAACCCATTGGAATTCGGTGAGCCCTCGTATTTACTGATGCCAGGAACAGGGACTAGGAACCCAGAGCTGTAGGCTCCGAGGCCGGAGGTTTCCTGTAGTAGGTCACTACTCCTTTTGAACAGTTTCTTCTTCAGGAAAACTAGAATTAGAAAATACTTCAGGGCAGAGCTTAGGAAAGCATACATCCTGGGGCACTTGGTTAGCTCAGTTGGTAGAGCATGCAACTCTTGATCTTGGGGTTGTGAGTTCGAGCCCCATGTTTGGGGTAGAGATTACAAGAAAAGAAGAGAAGAGAAAAGAGAAAAGAACACATCCTGATCTTATAAAAACCCATTTGGTAGTATAATACCACCATGGTGATATTTTCTGAGTTAGGGTTAAAACGGACTCTATTCTCAAAGAATATTTTACTCCTTGAGAGTATGAAAGGATGAAAACAAGAGGCACACAGGAAATAGGTATACAACACAGGTGACATCAATAGCCCAAATAATGAGGGGGTAGGCAGAACAGACAAAGAGCCGATTACATCATGAGGATGGGTTATTTTTTTTTTTAAAGATATTATTTCTTTTTTAGAGAGCGCGCGAGAGAGAAACAGCATGAGAGGGGAGAGGGTCAGAGGGAGAAGCAGGCTCCCCGCTGAGCCTGGAGCCCGATGTGGGACTCGATCCCAGGACCCTGGGATCATGACCTGAGCCGAAGGCAGATGCTTAACCATCTGAGCCACCCAGGCGCCCCCATGAGGATGGGTTATTAAGAGGATTTTAGGTTCCCCTATACTCTTGGGAGCAAATCTTTCTAGTTTTGTAAATAGGAGAACATGAGGGACAGAATAATTGTGGAGAGAAGGAGATGCCCCTGGTGACAACATCCAGAACAAGACTAAGTTGTGGCCTTTTCCATTGCCCCTCCTCCTGCCGTCGCCAGTCAGAGGCTGACACGTGAGGCTCCTGCTCATCTCCCAGCAGACCAGGGCGAGGAGCGGGGATAAGGGCTGGGGAAAAATGGGAGGTTTCAATGAATAGGAAGGCAAGAAACGCGAGTTCAAATGTACCACCAGATAAAATTAAGCAGCAGTAAGGGCTGAGTATTCAGGAGACTTGACCATCTCTCCTTCCCCCAAGTGCTCCCTGTAGGTGAAGTGCATCAGACCTGGGGGAAGGACGTTGGTCTGATACGGACAGATTCTTTCCTGGCCCGGAGCATAGGAGCACTGGTCTCTCTCTTTGTTACCTTACACTCTAGAAATTCCAGGGTGAGCTCCTCCGGGTTCAATGGGAAGATGGAGACCAGAAGCTCCTCTTTCCCTTCTCAATAACTTTTCTAGCCTTTGGAAACACTCCTTGATCTGGGAGACCGGCTGACCCATGACAGAGTGGAGAATGACCCTGGTGGGATTTTTTCCAAGGGGGCAGCTGGGGCGCTGCCCTCAAGGCTCCTGGTAAAGCCCTCAGTCAGGCCTGACTGAAGGAGGTGCTGCCCAGCTGGAGTGCTAAGGGATGAAGATTTCTCTTCCAGCCGAGAGCTTGCCTGTCCCAGCTGACTGTGGGGGCAGGGGAGCCCCGCAGCAAGGCCAAGTAGGCCTTGCAGCCTAGGTGGCGCTATTTCCCTATTTTTAGGTCAAGCGGCTGCACGAACTTCCTCGAGGTCCCTAGTCCTGCTCCTGGTTTGCTGGCTTGCTCGTGTAAACCACCTTATATTATTTTTTTTTCTAAAAATACTCCAAAGCAATTGAAAGAGTCCCTTCTCCCACCAGCCAGCCCTGGCCCCAGCCCCGGCCCCGGGGAGCGGGCGGGTAGGCGGGGAGGTGGGCCACTGCTTTATTAAACACAGGGAAAACTAATATTTACGGAATAAAATTTATGGAGCAGCCACGAGAATTCGACCCTTTTATGTGCATGTGGGGTGGGGGTTGGGCCAGGCTGGGGGCCTCGGGGAGGGGCCCAAGCCAGGGGGCAGGGCTGGAATACAGCCTGGCTAGGCCAATTTGTCGAGGCAGGGATTTCCCTGGAGTTGGCCCAGGATTCTCAACCACCACCCGTAGCTCTGAGGGGCAAGAATACCCACCCAAGGCAGAGCCTCCGGGAGCAATGTTTCTCTAAGGATGTGTTTAGGCAAATCCCCACAGAGGCAGTAACCTTTGGGGTAACGGGGGCGGTGGCCGGGAGATCACTAGGCATGTTCTTACTTAACCTAATTTTAAAAAAAGTCACGCATTCTTTTGAGAACACGAAAATGTTATGCTCTTAGAATTTTACTCACAATTTTAGGGGATTCACAAACCCGAGCCCCCTCTGATTAAAAATGCATGCTCTTGGGGCACTTGGGTGGCTCGGTCAGTTGAGCATCCGACTCTTGATCTCGGGGTTGTTGAGTATAAGCCCCTCATTGGGCTCCACGCTGGGTGTGGAGCCTACTTAAAAAAAAATTAAAAATTAGAAAAAAATGCATGCTCTTGAAACCGTGGTTTTAGCACAGAGGGATTATCCAGGGTGAAGAACGCTTATTTCCTCCCTCAGCTGGCTGGGGAAGTCTTCCCATTTTTTATGTGGTCTCATACCTCATCTATGCAGAAATCTGGCTGTCTAAATTATGCCAAAAAGAAACTAGGGAAGAAAGTGAGCCACCTGATAGATTGTTTTTACATAGTCCTCAGTTCACTTCAATGATAGTCTGGACGGTAAGGCGCATCTTGGGGTGCTGCAGTCTGGAGGCAGAGTTATTGGTGGTGACTTGGAATGAGCCCTGGGGGAACTCTCAGACTCTGCTGGTCGGTGAAAGCACGGGGGTCCTGGAGTCCTGAGAGGCTCTGCCGTGAGGAGCCAGTGGGAACCAGAAGATCCTGCTGAAAGGAGGCAGGTGCACAGGAGAAGGATGGTTCCAGCGCAAGACAGGAAAGAAGGCCTAACACCCTTCCCGGAGAATGTTTGTCAGTCATATATACACCAATGCAGTTAAGAACTCAGAAGTCTGGGTTTAAATGCTGGCTGTTACTTATTAGCTGTGTGACCTTTGATAAGTCACTTAATCACTTCAAGACTCTATTTCCAAGCGGGTGAACAGTATCTTCTTCCTCTGATGCTGAGAGGATTCAATGTCAGGCACTTATCAGAGCACCTGGTGTATATTAACTGCTCAGTAACTGTTAGCTGCTTATTATTAGTGCTGTTCTTCTTCTTATTATTTTATTATCGCTTGGGTTGTCGTCTTCCCCATGACCTGACCTAAGGACAGAAACACCTGTCCCAGACAGAGAAGGCATGGGGATGAGGAGGCATTTGACCATCGTAAGTAAATAAACCAGGAGAGGCCTCCATGGGTTCTGCCCCGACTCCTTCCTCCACCTGACAGCTCCCAGGGAACATCTGAGTTCAACTTTCCTTCCTGTCTCTCCAAAGTAATGTTTCAGATGGTCTTACCTGTTGAGGACAACCTAGCAGGAAAGGCCAAGGGACTTTGCCAATCCTGGTCTGCTAAATCTTGCCTGATCTGCCTGAAGAGTTGACTTTCTAACGAAGATGCCGCCTATCTCATACAAACTTTGTCTTTTTCCCTGCTAAGGCCAATTCTGTTGTCTCAGAGAAATCTGTGGCCGTTCCTGCTCCCTGCTGGCCTGCCTTTTCAAGTTCTTCTAGTTGCCATGTTATCTGAAGTAGCATGAAGGATGGGAGAATAAAATCCCTTTCTCTCCCACTCCAATGGGAAACTGCCTCAGCCCTTGTGCTCGGAGCTCTTTATAATTTCAATCCCAGATTGTGGTTTAGTCTGTTGTCTATGCCTTGGAAACAGACAAAAAAACACAAAACAAAAAAACACCCTACATGACGTTGGGCAGAGGACAGCAGCAGTGATCTGTGCTGTGCTGTGCCTGCCACGGAGAGAGTTCTCTAGACCAATGTTCCCAAATGGAGGCTTAGCGCAGGCCACAACGAGAGAAGCATGAGAAGAATCTGAAGGAGCAGATCGAGGGTCTAAACTTCATCTAGAGACAACAATGGGTGGGGCCCAGTAAAGTGAAAGAGGTTGGTTATATGTTCCACAGAATAAGCAATCTCGAAAGCAGGGGAGTGTGAGTGCTTTTTATTCCGGGCTTAAGAGAGAAGTGGGTCTCTGAGGAGCTAGGGACTCTTGAGAAAGGTGGACAAGGCTTCCTGAGCACGTTGTGCCTTTTTTGCTGACTTGTCCTCTGCACCTAAAGTCCATGGTAGGATCCTGGGTCTGGGGAACCTCCGACAAAAGAGAGGAAGGTATGGGATTCTCAGAAGCTGGCTTCCACTCGGCTAGGGAAGGCCAACGCCCAGCGGGTGGGAGCCCAGATTCCCTGGGTTAACAGTACCCACGCCTGTCCGCGGGAATTTCTGTTACGTCAGCCTTGCTGTGGGGCCTCTGACTATGTAACCCGGTGCTGGAGATGCTGTTGCTACAGGAGCTCCTCTCAAGGTGACACGAGGAAACTATTCTCCAAGCCCATTCTCCGCAGTCGGGACAGGGACAGGTTAACTGAAGAGCCCCCTTAGCTTCTTCCTCTTGACCTTTGACAGCTGAGGTCTGTGCATAGGGCCTGAAGTACCCTAGAATGAAAAGGAACCCGAGTTAATGGAGGTGTTTGAACAGATCCACTTAGGTCAGGAGAGGAACTTCCTTGCTCCCATGGCCCTGGTGGGGATGAGGGGCTGACACAGGTGTTTTGAAGTCTCTGCCAGGCAGTGAATGTGACACAAGACTTCATGCCATGCGTACATCCCTTCTCCCCTAAGGAACAACCTCACAGACCATCACTGGAAGTGGGATAAGGAAGAAAAGGAGTCAAGGTCCTTCACTTAGTACAGGGAAGATGCAAAAGACCATGACTCCCCTATCTAGAAATCCGTCATCCGGTGGCCTGGTCACAAATATCCTCCAATATTAAGGCAGCACCTCCACTAAGTGACAACTCCAGGGACCTCTGGTTCGGGGGCTGCAGGTGTGTGACTCACTGGGGGCTCTTTCTCGGGCACTGGGAGGGATGGTGCTGGTTCTTCCGGCTGGTTCAGAAGTTGGTTTTCGGTCCCTTGTGGGGAGGCACTGCTTGAGGGCTGAGGATCTCCTGAAATCAGAAAGATCAAGGGAAGACAGTGACAAATGCCTTCCTACCAGGGAGGCATTAGCATTTAGCAAGCATTCTGATCAAGGCCAGGGTTTAGTACTAATATATAAACAGACAGAAGTAGCTGTAAATCCAACTTCCAGCTGACTCTCGGAAAGCCCTGTTTCTACTCTGAAGATTCCCCACTTTCACTAGGTAGGAGAGGAGTTTCTTTGACTCAAAACAGCCAACTACTCCTCAACAGACAGGTAGAGAGATGAGTCTTTCTTCTGGTCCTCTCACTAATTCTTCTAAGCACCTAGACCAGTTCCAGTGGAAGTTTCTGCAATGACGGAAATGTTCCGCATCTGCACTGTCCGACTTGGTAGCCGCCGGCCATGTGTGGCTACCGAGCAGTTCAAGTGTGGCTACAGCAAATGAGGAGAGGTATTTTTCATTTTGTTTCATTTGTATTTAATTTAAATAGTCACAAGAGGCGAGAGCTACCATATTGGCTGGCACAACCCGACACCGTAACTCTAACCCCAGGGAGACCAAGTACCTTTGGAGCTACTCACCAGTGCCCTGATGGTTCTGTCTCCCTTGGATCTCTTGTCTGGTGACTGCCATATACAGATTCTGTAAATTCATGACAAAGGGCCTTCCATCACCTACGCTGCATGCCTCTGGTAGTTTCTATAGGGGAGCGGAGATGCAGTCATTGGTTATACTCTATCACCAGAGAAAAGGAGTTTGATATCCCACTGGCAGAAGTGGGATCAACCCCAAAAGAATTTATATAGAGAAGTTCGATTCAACATAGGACGTCCCTATCCATACCTTGTTGGGAACAGTATAAAGACCTCTCGTGAGGTCTTCTCTAATAGGCAACTCTAAATGTCTATCTTTAATTCCCCCAATACCTATTATGTTTTCCCATGAATACCCCTGGGGTATTCACCGAAGAGTCTCTAGGCTCTTTCTTCCAAAGGGATGACCTCTGAGAGGGCTGTTTTAGGAAATCATCTTTCCTAAATTGTCCCTGAGCTGTACAGATCACTGTTTTACTTACATTCACTCCTAAAGTTCCACACTAGAGAGAGAAAAAGGATGAAATGCAGGAAAGGGGAGAACAGGCAAAATGGGAATGACAGACTGAGAGACAAGGCTAAATTATGGAGCTATGGTGTTCAGTCGGAGGAGATGGGGGGACTAAAGTGTGCAAAGCTTTGGAGGCTTCCCTGCCATTTTACATTGCTTTACTGCAATCCATGAACCCACAAATGGGGGCAACCATTCCCCCAAGAGGGGGGAAAACTGGTTCTTGAGGGGTGAAAAAAATCTTATTCTTTTAAAGTATGAAACATCTACATACAGTACACAAACAGAATTTTGCTCTATCTGTGGTATTAAAATTTCCTGAGGGGGAGTGATTAGGAAAAAGTGTCTTAGAAAGGCTCCTGAGCAAGGTGATGATGGGGAGAAAGTTGAGAAATACAGCTATCATCACACTCTATGTACCTGTTTCCTTCGCTGTGAATGAACTGTGGATTTATATCCACAGGAAAATGCTCTGCCTAGTTCAAGTTTCAGGCACTTGGCTTAACGGCTGACGGCGGAAGCAAGTGCAGTAAAAATGAGACGAAGGCGTATGATATCCCGGGGTCCCGAACCTGGCTGCACTTCACAATCTTGGAAAGGACCCAGAGTTCCTTCACCTGTGCAGGCAAATCGTCATGGTTCCCAGGCAAGCTAGCAGGTCTCTGAGGGAAACCATCCCACCAGCTCACAGGGCACCCACCCAAGAATCCTGGATGGACCCACAGCTCGCGTCAAGGGCACTTGCTCTGTGCTCTAAAAGGCATTCATTTCTGAAAACCCGCCACGGGAGAAGGATGGAAGAGAGAACGCAGGAGAGGTTCTGCTCCTTCCAGAGAAGGATGGAAGAGAGAACGCTGAACCACAGTCAGGACTCTCTCTCCCTGAGGATGGTGGGATCTGAAACACGTGTTGATCCCCAGGAAATGCAGCATCCATTCGTACTGCAACCCTACCTCTGTAAGGTCTCTATCAGGCTTGCACTTTCCCGGGAGACCACCAATAAAGTCAGAACTTGGCTTCTGGCCAGCAATCACGCAGGAGTGAAAGGGCCCTGAGGAGCAAACTGAAAAGGGGAGGCAAACTCTCAGGCCATACACCTTGACCTCCCCTCACTCTCCTTAATTTCAGCTTCCCCAAGCCACGTGCTCCAAAAACACGTCCTCTGCTCTCCAGCCAGACAGCCCTGACAGCAGAGAGGCCAACAGCTGTTCTCCTTCCTCACCTCTCCTGTCTCCGGGGCCGCCCTTCAGATTGCTCACAAAACGTGGCCTCTTTCAGGCTCCGGCACACAGGGCTTGCGAGGCCCTGCGCTCTCTCTACAAACGGGTGGGGCAGAGTCTCAGTGGTCCCAGCTCCCTGAGCCCTCCGGCCCCGCCTGCCCCTTCTATGGAACCAGACAGACTCTTACGTTTTTTAGGGCAATCTTTAGCCAACTCCTGTACTGAGTCTCACAGTGAAGGGGCAAAAATGAAAGGCCATAAAGCCAGTGCTGTCCTGAGCCTAAGTCCAAATACAGAACCAGTATCTTGGACCTTCCTCCATCCTTCCCTGTCTCCAAGAGATCTGGTCCTGCTGTTGTTGCCAAAAGTTATCCCACCTGAGTACTCTCAGAAAAGTACCACAAAGAGAATATCGGAGGCTGCCTGGGCGGCTCAGTCGGTTAAGCGTCTGCCTTTGGTTCGGGTCAGGATCTCAGGATCCTGGGATCGAGCCCCATGTCCTGACTCCCCGCTCATCAGAGAGTCTGCTTCTCCCCCTCTCTCTCGTAAATAAATAAAATTTTTAAAAGACAAAAGAAAGAATATTGGTACATTTGCTGCATATTTCCTATATGCTAGACACGGTTCTAAGAATTTAAATGTACTGATGCATTTTGTCTTATTCCCTGCTGTCTCCCTGGCACTTGGACTGAAGTAGGGCTCTATAACCAACCATGAATGAATGAACATGGTTGGCACTAGTATGACCCCATTTTACTGAGGCGGTTCCAACTAGTAAACAGAGCAGGATTAGAATCCAGACAGGCTGACCTCAGGGCCGACGCATATAATGACCACCCTATTTACTTCTCTAAATAGCAGAATTTTAGTCCCAAGGGCCATACAGCCTTTCCCAGGATCACAACCATCTGTGCCTCCCATCACAGATCACTTGCCTCAATTCCCATCCAGCTCAAGAACAAACTCCCTCAGGTGACAAGAGAGAAGTGAGCAGAGAATCTGGAGGTTCAACCTGAAAAGCTGGCCCCACCTGGAACCCTCAGGGGCTGAGGCCATCCCTCAATCCTAGTCCAGCCATTCCCATCGTCACTGATTCCATGTGCATTATCCTCACAATAAGCAGGGAAAAGGAGGTGGAGAGGCCCGGGCTTGGGAAGGAGAAACATTAGCTCCCTGTGCAGGACAATGGCAGGGGCGAGCTAGGGCAGGCCACCGAGATCAAAGGGAGAACAGCGGGGTCAGGACTAAGAAAAGCAAACAGCAGTGCCCCCTGCCATAAGTAAGAAGGAACCAGGAGCAAGGTGTACCAGCCACAAAGCGGTTCACTGCCCAGAGTGGGGAGGGGAAGAAGAGACAGGTCGGTCTACTGTGGAATGCGTTCATCTGATTAACCCAGAATCAATTCTACGCAGCAAAAAGCTACTGAGATTCTACCACGTGTTAGGTACTAGAGGACTGGGGCGAGGGAAGGAGATGCACCCTTCCCTCCTCAGAACGGGGCTGAGTCAGCCAAAGATAAATAAGTCAGAGTCCCTGCTTCAAGGAGTTGATATTCAGGTGGGAGGAGCAGGCAGATTTCAGGTTTTTTCCAAGTGTTACGCTATCACAGAGTTAGAAACAAAGGGTAATAAGAACTGGAGAAGAAGAAAGGAAGGAATTCTGACCATCCAGCAAAAAGCCTGGGGCAGGATTGGGGGTGGTGAGGGGATGGGGGTGACATAGGCCAGCCTTGCGAATGTGGGGAAGTATTTGAATCACAAAAGTGTGAAAAGACAGGATATGTTGATGTATCTCATGGGAAATAAGACCAGAAGACTAAGTTCATACCCGCCAGATTGCTAAGGGCTTGGTGTTCTAAACTAAGGATATGCCCCTGGAAGTTTCCTTTTGTTTCACAAAGTGGCTTTCTCTACTACACCCGTGCTTGCCAAGGCTTGCTTGGCTCTGAATGACTATTGAATCAAGGGTGAGGGGTCAGAAGCATCCTCTGGGTTTGCCTTCATAGGCTTTCTGCTCCATTTCGTACCTCTTCACTAACTGAACTGCTAGACTGTGACTCTTCAGTAGGCAAAACAGAGCTACATTTCTCTCCTATCTCCAGTTCACTGGGACTTTGGGCCCTGCCATCTGGCCATATCAGGAGCTTTAGGAAAACCAAAGCTACAGAAATCCTATAGGGCAGGGACGCCTGGGTGGCTGTGGGTTAAGCGTCTGCCTTCGGCTCAGGTCATGATCCCAGGGTCCTGGGATCGAGTCCCTCAGCGGGGAGCCTGCTTCTCCCTCTCTCTCTGCCTGCCACTCTCCCTGCTTGTGCTCTCTCCCTCTCTCTCTCTGACAAATAAATAAATCTTAAAAA